GAAGAGTTGTTACACACGATGTTTCAGGTTCGTTCGCCACCCATCGGACGCTCGCCATCGGTGAGTAACATGGCGCAGCCATCGCTAATGCAGCCCGGTGCTGCACAGCAAGGAGTACAACAGATGCAGCAAGGACCGGTAAATCAGGATCAACAACCCTACAGATGACAGGAACAACTTTTTATCGTTGTTTGTTTCAAAACATACAGGTAGTGTGCTCCAGTTCGGGTATTGTCACTGGCTTTTTCGCTATTCAAAGGAGAAAAAGTTTAGAAATCTGCCCACGCATGCCTCGAATTGAATCTTTCCCCCGGGTCGTTTTTGCTGGTTATTCGCTGATATGATGGTACGGCAATCGAGAAGGAAGCGGGTTAATATTTCCGTACTTGGACACGGAGATAAATGCTCATTATGGGCGTTTAGCGCTGTATAGCCGTCTTTTACGTCTTTTGTCTCATTGTTTGGATTAATTCAATTGATAACGCTTGAAATCATGTAGTGATAAGACTTCCTGGATTTCAAGGATTATTTGAGAAACAGGTTGAAGACAGTTTTGATTTGTGGAAATACGAGGTAGTATTGGGGAGTCCGGAACATGTCGTTAAGAAGAGAGGAAATGTAGAAAATTCAGTCATTTATAAAGAAATTAGCTTCCAGAGGATTCTGTACGCCAGATGATTGCCTGAAGGGAGCACAGTTGTTATCTGCCGGTTTTGCTTGCTCTTTCTGTTTCTGTTAATTTTGCATATTTTTATTGGTATTGTCTCTCCGCTGCTGCTGCTGCTGCGTTGCTGCTGCCATAACGGGTGTTCGTTGACGGCTCATCACTGTACTGTATGTGTTGTCAACTGTGTGCAGTTGTTTTTATTATTGTTATTGCTGTTGTTGTTGTTGATTTTTTTGTGATGCCCAGGCAGAAAAGCATCATCTGTACGTAGTAAAGTATGTGTGAGAATTTCTGGCTGCTCTCCTGTAGAGTCGATGATCTGATCATTCTTTTTTATCACTATTACTACTGCTACTATTATTTGCTCGTTGTTTTTGTTCT